AAAATAGCTGTGTTATCACAATTACCCCAAATGGGGGAATTATGATAATTCTAAACCTGTTCACTGGAAATTGATTAGAACTAATTAATGATAACGAATTTTAGGAAAATTTTTACATCAGTAGATAACTAAGAGTCAGCTCTATCTACCTGCATAATACTAATTTTCTCCGGTGAAAGATGACTTAATTATGCTCAAAATATCTGAAAAGTTTTAGGCGATTATCAGAATTACCCCATGTGACTGTATATATATATATATGTCGCGGTAGAAATTAGGATTCAGTAGGATTTAAAATTTTACTAGTTATAGTATTTAAATTTCTACTAGTGCAACTTAAAATCGCCGCTTATTTTAATTTCTCCTAGTAGAAAATGAAACTTTAATTTTAACTAATAGAATTTTAAATTCTACTGAATCCTAATTTCTACTGCGACATATGTATAAAATATATCTCTATTGACATTTGCTTCGCATAGGACAGCATAGAAAATCTTTTATGCAATCAATCGCTCATAGCTCCCTCATTTTTCGATGAAATTAAATAATTTTTTAGACTCGGTAGACTCGCAAGACTCTTCTTTATTTTATTTTTAGTATTATTATTGAGCTTCTATATAAATGTACTCAGTATAGTAGATGTTTTTTCGACCATATTATGCGAATAATATTATGCATACAGAAAAAATATTTTTGCTTTTACGTATCTTTACTTTTGTTTTGCTTTTCTGTCATTTTGGTTGAAAATCTGTGAGATACGCTGTGTGAATGCGCGCAGTTTCCGTTTGATTCTGAAAAAATCTCTATATATATATATATATATTCGTCTTTGCTCCGTATATATCTTTCTGAACTTCTCTTGTGAGTTAAATTACACTGAGTACTGTCTTTGTTTATATAGTTATTGAACAATTTATAATATATGAAATGTGTTCGTTTTTTTATTTATTCTTCTGGTAGTAAAGAGGTTCTGAAGAAAGCTGATTACATCGTGTTCTCGAAGAAAAAACCGAGTAAAACATAATGGAATCGAGCCTTTAGAAATGGATCTGGAAAACATTTCTTGGGCACCAGCAGTTCCATCAAAGTAGTGAAAAGCTGAACTAGAAAACTGTGAAAAAGATTACAAATTCGTCAGATTCGTAATTGTAGCAAGTCGAAAACGTTCGATTTTAAAGATCTGAAAATTCTAGAGTTATAAAAATAACACATTTAACCATTCTTATCTTTACATAATAAATACGGTCGATTAATCTTCTATAGAATACCCGCTGTCTAATATTTTGTTTTCTTGTTTGGCGATTCAATGTTCAAAATATCGGCCAAGATTAGTGAGACAACATCAATATTACTGTGTGATATAAAGTTTATGTTATTTAGGAGTAGTAGTATATTCCTAGATCAAGAAACAAGCTCTGTTCTAGCTGTTGCTGTCGTCAATTCGATTTGAACAACTAACCACAAAAAGAAAACTTCATTTACAGTAATATTTATTGATGTACTATGCTCTATTCTACCGTATTTTCTTTCTGTATCATAGAATCATGTAGCAGACAGTAACCGAATTTCGCAGACTACTCTGTTTTAGCTCATTTCTACCACAGATCGCTGAATTCATACTCGTTGAAGCTAAAAACGATATGTTATTTGTCGGTCACTCGTATCTTGACCGATTTCTTCTTATTTCTTCACTGTAGCACATTAGCCTGGATTGGCCCATAGTGAACCAGTTAAAAACATGAATAAATCTTTGCGTGATACTTTTTGGAAGCCGCCTTATTCCTTATATTAGACGTTTTCTAGCTGGTAGAAACAAACAAACTCTAAATTGTCCATGTACGTCGGAGCGTTTTTCGCGTGGATGGTGTATACTGTTGCTGGGTAACGCTAGCGGAGAATGCAAATAATGGCGAAAATTTGCTTTTCATGATTCCAAACGATTTTACACGCTTTTTTTAATCACTTGTTCTCTTCATGAAAGTGAATAACACATCTGTCTAAGTATCCTATAGCTATATAGTAGATACCCTAGTGAATGTACTTGCCCAAATACTTGCCTAAGTAATGAATGTCCATAGTACTTGCAATTTTGGTCCAGGTCACATAAAAATTTCAAGTACTTGTTATGTATTTTTGACTCAGTCAAAACATAGTGGAATTTCTTTATTTCGATTGCGAGAGTGTCGCGCAAACTATGGATATTTCCAAGTCCAAGTACTTGGCCTCAAGTACATTCACTAGGGTACGCGCACGATTTGGGCTTCTCTTTATCATTTACGATGTCAACTGTAAACAATCAAGTTTAAAAAGTATCCTAAACGTTATTTCTTTTCCAGATGGTTATCGCTCGAGCTTCTCGTGAAATTGTCCGATGGCTGGAAAGTCTTAACTTGACATATCCAGTAGTGATCCCAAAATGGTAATATTTTTAATAATAGGAATAGTGCTTTATAAGATGTGAGTTATGTCTCTTTTCTTTTTTTAGGGATCTCACCAATGGATTTTCATTCGCTGAAATACTTCACGCTTATTTTCCAAATGAGATTAATATGTTATCTTTTATAAATGGACGTTCGCTTAATTCTAGAATGCTGAATTGGGCAATCATCAAACAGGTTGAACTTGTGTTTTATTACAAGGATAATTATGATATACTAATTTTTTATATATTTTCGTTGTTTTAGTTTATAGCTCGACAAAAACTACCAGTACCACTAGAGTTAATTGACGCAACAATGCATTGTAAAGAAAGCGGAGCTGAACAACTTCTCGAGCGAACGTACCAATTATTGACAAATAAGAAGTATGTACATGAAATGTCGATATATATACATGCTTTGTGCTTATTTAAGAAAAGAGTATCCATATTTTACACCTAAAATTTTCTCGATTTATTATCAATTTAAATCGAGCTTATTTTTAGACCATTTTTGGATTCACAATCAGTACGTGATTCAGACTTCAGTGATCATCCATATCAACAAAATCTGAATTCTTATGAAAGATCACATGCTTCAAAAGCAATTAAAAACAATTTGAAAATATCCGAAGTTCTCACAGAACCAAGTTATGCTTATCAAGAGAAGAGGGTAAAAAATTCTTACATATTGTGCTCTTTGATTATACAACATAAAATGTTTATGTTTTCTTTGAATTAGATTCAAGCTATTCTTGATCGTCATTATAACGATCGATTAGATGAACGAAATAAGCATCCTCAACGTTTTAGTGCTCGGCCTACATTAGCGGAAAGGTGTTTAAGAAAACCACTTAAACCAAATACTAATGTGACTGATTGGTATAAAAATTCATTTGATGCTCGATCACGTTCAGCTGCATCAACGAACAAAAGCGGACAGTCTAGACAATATTCGGCAGATATTTCAACAAAAAAAATTCCACTGAACCAAGGTAATGTATTTCTTTGACAAAATCATCAGCATAAATGAAAAATGTTTTGAAATTGCTTAGACGACGGTTCTATTCATGTAAATGATGACACACCGTATAAAGAATTAACAGTTCACCAACATTCTGTGCCACTGGATGATCTCCTTCAACCAGAGTCCAACACTTGAGACAGTGATTACTGCTAAAAATCAAACCAGCAGCGCAAACTGAACTATCGCATAGTGGAGAAGCCTCGTTCATCCTAGAAACATAATGCTCATTATCCTACCAATTTTTTTTAATGTTGACCATGTACAGATTTCCACAGAAGTATATGTATTTAATCTTTGCTCCTTCATATATGTAGCAAATATTCATGTATTTTAATAAAATGTTTATAAGAGATCAGAAATAATGTATTGGCGTAAGTATGGTATGAAGTTTCTAATTTTGATTGTTTTGGTAAAAAGAATTTTCTATAACTACTTCTATCTTCTATCTATATCAGCAATTACAATACCACAAGTTGAGAAATTTCTTCCATTTTTTCAAGGACCTTTTTCAAGAATTCATCTGTTTGATCTCTAGTCTCTCAGGTCTTGTCTTGTCCTTCCTTAAGGAGGTCCTCACAGCGAAAAAAACTTTTTTATTTCACATCCGGTTTCAATGGCGCTTACCGCGACTACTGCTTACTATCCATCTAGCTTATGCTAAACACTTGAGCTCGAAACGTTGCAGACTTGCCGTGTTATTGCGGGGATATAATAGGGCCCTTCGCAAAAGCGTTAAGACTTTGTTATTGAAAGGAACAGAAAGCTGCGGGTAGTCTCAAATGAAAGTAACCACCTAAATCTAAAATTTGATCTGCAGCGATTTTTGAATTTTCTTTCCGTTCATGCTCTACAGGTAATTTAAATCATATCGCTATGGATCAAACTTTAAATAAATGTCTTACGAGGGAAGGCCCCGACTGTTAAATCCCTTTTGACGTAAAACTTAGTAGACAATGTGTAACCGAGCATGCTGATTCCGAATATGACGATGTTTTTTGCCAATCCGTCTTTGGACACCCCGATTTTTCAAAAACTAGGTTTTCGCAATGAAAAACTTGTTTGATCCGTACAAATGAAAGCGCATGCTCTAAAACCTACGCAAAACTATTTTTTAAGGTTTTGGAAGCGTGCAAAACTAAAAGTTTGAACGTAAAAAGTTTTTC